AAACCATTTCAGGTGACTACCTCTTGAAGCTCATGGAGAGAATGCCAAGAGTGTGCAAAGCAGTAATCAGAGCAAAGGGTGGCTATTTTGAAGAAACTAGAATATAAAACATGTTTTCAGTTATTTCACCTTTTTTTGTTAAGTACATAACTCCACATGTGTTCATTCATAGTTTTGATGCCTTCAGTGAGAATCTACAATGTAAATAGTCATGAAAATAAAGAAAACGCATTGAATGAGAAGGTGTGTCCAAACTTTTGGCCTGTACTGTATATATATATACATATATACACACACACACACATATATATATATATATACATATATATATATATATTTACTTGTTATGGGTGTAACAACAGTTCAGTTCCACATGAGACAGTGGAGTCCACGTTCGGTGCGTGTTTGGAAAAGTGGAAGACTAGAAATACCAGAGAAAAACCCTTGTTTTTATTAATTTATTAAATGTATGAAAACAAACTTTAACTGAATTTAACTGATGAAAAGTTTTTCCTTGCAACACCTTGAAGTAAATCCCTTAGCTAAGGGGAAATTAAGCCTTGAGGTGTTTTTTGCAGCCAGCAGTCAGACCTATGGTTTATCAGACAATCTTCTGCTTCTGGTGTTACTAACCCACCCTGTAAGGAGCTAGTTTAGCTTAGCTTAGCTTAGCTATGTTTAGCTTAGCCTAGCCTAGCTTAGCTTAGCTTAGCCTAGCTTAGCTTAGCCTAGTGTCCTCTCAGTGTGTCAGCAGGATGTAGTGGTTTGGGGGAGGGGCCAACAGCATGTTTCCTGTCCCGTCCTGTGGGACGCCTCGTTATAAACATTAAATTAAACACAGGTTAAGATGTAGGTTTGATTTTTTAATGTAACAGGACCCTTCAACATATTTGTCATGTGCACTGAACGGTTCAATATGAATATGTGTTGGATCTGAGGTGGATCCAGAGTTTTGAAATGAAACCCTTCACTTTTCTTTGTCTGTTTCTGATCCCAGAGGTGTGACCCTGCAGATCAGTTTGACTCTGCAGCAGTTGTTCAGCCTGCAGACGTTCAGGTCTGACTGCCTCTGTATTCTGTCTCTTTCCTTCAGGTGCCATGTTCTTTTTTTTGCAGCATGTCTTTGGGTTTGTGTCGCAGCAGGTCACAGTTCCTCCTCAGACCTGTGGCCATTGTAGAAGTCTGCTGTAGAAGATTGATCGATGAAATCTGTTTGTTGGTCCAACCGATTCTCAAAATGTTTATTAATATCATGATGTTAATGAAACTAAAGAGGCTGAACTCAACCACGAGGTGAGAGCAGCACTCGTACAGTCTGCAGCTCAGGGTTAACTTGTAATTCATCTTCACCAAAGTCAGCAGGTACAAGTGTGTTTTAATCTAATGTCGAACTAACTGCAAATGCTTCTGTCGTCACCCAGAGAGGAACGTTAAGAGAGCGGAGCAGCGATCAGCAGTAACGTTAACAAGTGAAACCGACTGACCGACACACTCTGCAGCATTAAACAACTGAAAGCAGAATAACTCTGCTCAGACTGTTTCACCTCAGAAACCCTGTGACAGCTCCGCTCAGCGTCTTTACTCAGAGCTAACGAGGCTGCGCTCCACTGATGGAGACGTTAATGACAACACAGTTATGAACTCTGCCTCCCCCTCATTTTGTTACTCTCATACAGGCAGGAGACTGTGAGATGCTTTCAGATGAATGAATTAATGCAGTCAGTGTTTAGAATGAAAAGGTTGTGGATCATTGATCCAACAGAACGTAGTCACTTATTTCAGGTGAAATAATCAGTGGACACTGTGCTGACATAAAGACCCCACAGTGGGTCAGTGTGAGCAGCTGCAGAGGGAAACAATCTGACTGGTTTAAATCTACAGTGTGGAAACAGTTTGGCTGTGAGGCTGAAGGAAAAGGGACCTGAACAACAGACACACTGTCTGCAGGTAAACTCATCTGTTAATAATGGATCACTGCAGATACTGTATGATTTGTTCTCAAAGAAGTAAGTAGTCACACTGAGAATCAAACCAAATGGTGAGCAGTCTGCAGATTCCCACTCCTTGTTTTACTACACTGATACAAACACCAGAGTAGATTCAGGGTGAAGGTGATTAAAGCGACTTCTACTATGGTTCCAGCTGTAGGTTCTGACTCACCTGTGTCACCAGGTGTCATCTTCATCGATGTAGGAAGCAGATAAACAGCAGAGGAGATTTAGGAGATGTGGAAACACAGAGAAGTGCACTGACCTCTGACCCGACGAGCTGAGGTCATCTCTTGGATGATTCGATGTGGAACCGGTTCTCAGGTGGCCAAACACCTGCTGAGGGTTCCCCTGGTGCCGGTCAGCTCTGCCTCAGAAATATACGGTGAAAAAGACTCTCCGCACTTTTGAGCTGAGTCACTTTGACCACGCTCGACTGGACCCGCGATCAATCCAGTGAAAACAGCCTGAGCTGTTTACTGTATGTGAGAGTGCTGTGTATTGATTGAAATTTCCCAGAGCTCATTTGAGCCAATCTAAAGTTTACGACTCGTTCTGCGACCACAGTAAATGAAGGAAAATGGGGCCGAACTTAGGGTTTGTTTAGAGGAAGGAAAGTTGATTTGGATATTAACGAGCAGCGGAGCAGGAAATGGCTTTCAAGCAACAAAGAGAAAAAACATCCAGTTTGATTTCATGTCCTGAGTTCTGATGTTTGATTGGAGGAGATTTAAGGAGGAGGTGTCTGTAATGTCTGACGGGAGGAAACGTGGCAGCTACAGTCTGGTGTGTTTCAGGAGCTCCTTCACTCTTTGATTTGGTGTAAATACATGGGATGTGGGCCGCCTCTCATTCACTCACTGTTCTGTTTCTTCTGTCTGATTTTAGGCCACGCCTCTCAGAATATCACTGTATGTCTCTTAAACCGGGAATAAAATGAAAAGATGATGCAAGAGTCTCACTGGTGAATGTGTTCATGCTCCACGTCACGTCACTGCGACACTTCCTGACTCTGCACAGCTGCTGATTCACCTGAGGGTTAATGACAAGTGTGTGTGTATGTGTGTATGTGTGTGTGCGCGCATGTGCGTGTTTTGAGTTCAGACAGGTTCATGTTTAGTCTGTGCTGCACTCCTCAGCCATGAGCCCATCACAGGTAAACACAGCGGCACAAGGAGATGCCACGCTGCAAACAATCCACACAACAAGGTGAGTTTATGATTTATCAGAGAGGGCGAGGAATCAGCAGAGGATCCACCGTACCATATTCTCACCATACTGAGGTCAGGGTACGATATTATCACGACACTGAACTCTAGGATATGTGTGAAAAACATTCATTTAGTTTTGGGTTCATTTAAAATCAGTCTGAGGTTTTTTAGGATTTCT